AGCCGCGGCGCCCGGCGCCCCTGCTGCTGAAGGCATCCTGGCCTCCGCGCGGCCCTTGAAGGAGGACGGAGGCTTCGGCTCCAGCTGGGTCTGCGGCTTCTCCAAGCTGGAGTCCCAAGTCTTGGAGAAGAAAGCCGACGAGCTGCACCAACGCGACGTACTTCTGACCGAACTAAGTAAGTGCACGATCAAACTGTATGGCAATCCCAACACGCTGCGGCTGACCAAGGCCCGCAGCTGCAGGGTGCTCTGCGGCCCGGTGTCCACATCCGTGTACCTGGAGGACTGCAGCGACTGCGTGCTGGCCGTGGCATGCCAGCAACTCCGTGTTCACACTACACGAGACACCCGCATCTTCCTGCAGGTGACCAGCAGGGCCATCGTGGAGGACTGCAACGGGATCCAGTTTGCTCCGTACACCTGGACCTACCTGGGTCTCGACAAGGACTTCGAGAGTTCTGGTTTAGATAGGAGCAAAAATAACTGGAACGATGTTGACGATTTCAACTGGCTGGCCAGGGATGTGGCCTCCCCAAACTGGAGTGTTCTTCCTGAAGAGGAGCGAGACATCCAGTGGGACTAAACACTTGTCGCTTTGATCTTCGCTCCAGCGAAATATTTATCATGTGGGACAGACTTCAGCTAATAGGACCCCGAAGATTATTTATTGTCACGCTTTGTATGTTTTCAGTATTTTAAGGCTTGAGATTGTGATAGGCTCCTATTTGTGATTTCCATTAAAGTCATGACATATCAAACACTTGAAGCATTTTTGCTATTAGGATAATCTAGGAGTTTTCATTTGGCCATGGTAGTTTGAAGCAGTAAGGGAGGAAGAATGTGATTCTGGAAAACTTAGTGCATCAGAAAGTAAGCCTCAATAACTATCTGTTAAATAAATGAATCCCATAGGAGCCAGTACATGCGGAAGTGTGGTATCAAAGCTGGGCAAAGACCAATAACAGATTTTTTTTTAATGAAAAGTTTGACGTACGTATTTCTATGCAGTCATCAAAAGACTCCTTTGGTCTTCAGCCACACGTTGGCTTGGTCCTCCAGGATCCAGCTACTCATTAACTTGTTTGGGTCCAAAGTTTCGGTGTAGACCCCAAGAGTCTCATGAGTCTTACCAACTCTAAAGAGAAAAGAGTTATTTAGAGTTTTAAAGAGTTATTTACCAGCACGTGGTGTAATGGTTACATCACTGAATTCCCACATAGTCTGCTGGGGTTTGAGTCCCTGACTGCTTAAAACTCATGCTGGGTGCTTGTGCATGGGTGCCCAAAACCCTGAGAGGAGAATGGAGAAGGGATTATATGGCCATCTCCCCTGGGCGGGTGATTTTTCGCTTTCTGTCTCTCTCTTACTCCAGCATGTGCATGCACCTAGACCAAAAATCCCTCTCTACAAAAAGGAATTATTTAATTTTATTTGTTGTTACTGTTTTTTAATTTGACCAGAGACAGAAAGGGAAAATGAGAAAGCAAGCCAAGTCCAGGACCTTAACCACCATGCTGCCTGCCAGCCCTGACAAAATTAATATTTTCTTTTTTTGGGGAGAGGTTTTTGCTATAGGGCACGTGCGCTCGCCAGAAAGAGAGACAGAAAGCAAGAAATCAACCCCTGGGGGGATGGCCATGCTGCAGTCCCTTCTCCTCCGTTCTCCTCTTGGCATGCACAGGTGCCCAAGGTGAGTTTAAGCCCCTGAGTCCGGGACTCGGACCGCAGTCGTCTACCTCGGAATCCAGCAACATAGCCATTGCACCAACTGCTGGTCCCCAGAATAAATTTTAAACTATCAATATTCTATGCACACAATGTCATAGACACTGTTTTAAGCACCATATTTATATTAAGCCCTCAAAATCTCATCGTTTCTGGTAGCACCCTTTTTCAAGTGAGGATGCAGGACTTACCTGCTTTTTTCAGGTGGTGGGCTGGAGACAAACCAGAGCCCACCTTCTTCACCACCACCACATACTGATGTTGATAGCTGGTGGAGTTGGAAAGCTTCCAAAATAAAACAAGTTGCTTTTCTTGAGTTCTCATGTGAACTTATGCTGCAGGTATCCTCTTACAAAAAGATGAGGTAGCATCCAATGGAATTTGTTCTTCCACTCGTTATAATTTACTATTGTTAGAGATTGGATGTTCTGCTCCATAGGCTACCATCCACTAGTCTTAATGGACAGTTGTAAGATTTTTTTGCTGTTGCTATAGTGTGCATACACTTGTCAGAGAGAGACTAGGAGGAAGAAATGAGAAATCACTTCCCAGGGTGAATGGCCACACGTCAGTCCCTTCTCTTTCTCTCCAGATTCTGAGCATGTATAAGCATCCTATGATTTTCAAGCTCCTGGGTCCGGGACTCAAACTGTGCAGTCAGCCATGTGGGATCCAGCTCTTAATCACCACAGCACTGCTGACCCCAACTTATTTATTTATTTTTGAATGATTATTTAATTTTATTATTATTCTTTAATTTGACCAGAGAGAGAGGGAAAATGAGAAAGCAAGCCACCAGAGGTGGTACTCAAACTGGTCAGCCATGTGGGAGTCCAACACCCTAACCACCATGATACCTGTCATGCCCAATCCCCAACTTTTTTTTTTTTTCTTGAGAGGTTTTTGCTGTAGGGCACGTGCGCTCGCTCCCCAAAAAGAGAGAGAGACAGAGAGACAGAAGTGAGAAATCATCCCCAGGGGGGATGGCCATGCCGCAATCCCTTCTCCATTCTCCTCTCGGGATCTTGGGCACACACGCCTACGCACCCAGCATGAGTTTAAGCCACCAGGTCCGGGACTCGAACTGCAGTCGACCACATGGGAGTCCAGCGACATAGCCATTACGCTAACTACTGGTCCCACCAACTTATTTTAAAAAAAACATTTTTGGGTCATGTGGCCTTGTAACTAAGGACATGGTATGTCCTTAATAATTACCTCAAGTGGGGACCAGCAGGTAGTGTGGTTAAGGCACTGGACTCCCACATGGCCAACCATGGTTTGAGTCCTGCTTTCTCACTTTCTGTCTCTGGTGAGCACATGTGCCCTATAGTACATTTAAAATAATAATATTAAATGATTATTTTAAAAAATTACCTCAAGTATTTTTGTTCTTATTACAAAAAAGGATTAAAAGTGTAAAATATAACAAAATAACAAAAAACAAATTAGCAAAAGTAGAGGCACGAATGAGAGGCAGAAAAAAGGCCAAGTTCTGTTCCTCAGTGGGAAATGGATCCAGATTTTTTCCCAACTATCAACTGTCTTGAGAAATGGCCCTAACAATTTCACAATTTCACATGCACAAAGAGGAAAAATATCAAGGAAAAAAGTCTAGATCACAAAAGGAGACATCATGTGGGGCCAGTAGTGGTGTGGTGGTTAGGGCACTAGATTCTCACACGGTCAGCTGTGGTTCAAGTCCCAGACCTGGCAGCTTGAAAATCACATCGGGCTTGTGTACTTGTGTGCCCAAAATCCCTAGAGAAGAGGGGAGAAGAAGGGATAGCAATGAGACCATCCTCCCCCCCCCCAATAGTGATTTCTCACTTTCCCTCTCTCTCTCCAGTGAGGGTATGCACCCTATGGTAAAAACCTAAAATTAAAAAAAAAAAAGACAACATAATGAATAGTCAACTATTAGCTTCACATTAGGAACCAGTACCCTAAGGCCATCCCCCTAAAGAGAGTGCACTTTAGGAAAAGCCATTCTATTTTTCTTTTTTTTTGGAGAGATTTTTACTATAGGGCGCGTGCGCTCGCCAGACAGACAGAGAGAGACAGAGAGACAGAAAGCGAGAAATCACCCCCCAGGGGGGATGGTCACGCCGCAATTCCTTCTCCTCCATTCTCTCTCGGGATCTTGGGCACGCACGCACACGCGCCGGGCGTGAGTTTTAAGCCACCGGGTCCGGGACGCGAACTGCGGTTGACTACGTGGGAGTCTAGCGACATAGCCATTACGCTAACTGCTGGTTCCCTCTATTTTTCTTTTTAAAAGGATAAAGTAATTCCTGTCTCTCTGTGTCTTGATATATTTCCTCTTCATAAATTCTGAAATCGGGGATCAGCAGTTAGCATAATGGCTATGTTGCTGGACTCCCACGTAGTCGACCGCGGTTCGCGTCCCAGACCAGGTGGCTTAAACTCACGCCGGGCGCGTGTGCGTGCGTGCCCAAGATCCCAAGAGGAGAATGGAGGAGAAGGGGTTGCTGCGTGGCCATCCTCCCGGGGGGTGATTTCCTGCTTTCTGTCTTTCTCTCTCTGTCTGGCGAGTGCATGCGCCCTATAGCAAAAACCTCTCCAAAAAAGAAAAGGAAAATAAATAAACAAATAAATAAATTCTGAAGTCGAAAGAAATTGGAATTCCTTTTTCTAATGGGCATGCACACACACGCACCTTGTGTGATTTTTTCAAGCCACCAGGTACAGGACTCGAACCACTTAGTTGGCCATGTGGGATCCAGCTACCTTCTGGCTCACATCTTCTTTACTTTTACGAACCTGCAGTTTGAAAGAGAGAATAAAATCACAAAATCAGGGCCAGTAGGTGGCTTTGTTGTTAAGATGCTGAATCCCACATGGCTGACTGTGGGTTAAGTCCGGGACCCGGCAACCTGAAAATCGTGCCAGGTGCACATGCATAGATGCGTGTGGCTCTCTCCCCTGTGGGGTGATTTCTCAGTTTCCCTCTCTGTGTCACTGTCTCTCACTCGTGAGCAGTACCCTATAACAAAAACCTAAACTTTTTTTTAAAAAATCACAAAATCGTAGCAATTTGAACCATAATTAGTGCTAGTCTGAGCTGTTTTCATTACAGCTCAGCAAGCCTACTGTGCCTTCCAGAATGACTTGTTCCATATTCCTTATGCCAACTATTCCAGAAGACCTTTTTTTATTTTCCTAAAGCTGACAATCATATGCCCATAATGCTGCTGATCTCACTCAGCAATTTATAAACCATCTGATTAGCACCCCCTTCACATCCCTCAATACTGAAAAAAAAAATCCATTGTCATTGGTCTTCCTCTACAGGCCTGTTTTCTCCTCCCCAGAACTACGTGTCCTGCCTCTGCACATTGCACAAGTCTAGACTTTTAGAAGGGCCATTGGTATCAACCACCCATCGAGTGTGAATTCCCTGAATGAAATTCCTACCCAATACCTACAGTCACAGAAGGAAGAAGTTGTTAAAAATCTTGCTTTTGGGCTAGCAGGTTAGCGTAGAGGTTACGGTGCTGGATCCCACCCGGCCTGCTTCATGGTTTGAGTCCCAGACTGGCTTGATAATCACCCTAGGCGTGTGTGTATGTGTGCATGTGTGCTCAAAATCCTGAGAGGAGAATGGAGGAGAAGGCACTGTGGTGTCGCCATTACCCCCTGGAAGGTGCGTTTTCCTTTCCCTCTCTCTCCCTCTCTCTCTCTCTGGCGAGTGCAAAAACTGAGAAGAAAAAAGAAAATCCTGCTCTTAAATATTTCAGATGCTGGACTCACCCTAAACTTGGGAAACTGGTAAGAGCAATTGTCTCTATGTGTTTGGACGTAAGGAGAGAATACCAGAGCTGGGTGGCTGCTAGACAACAGTTTATTTCTCAATGCTCCGGAGGCGGGAAGGCAAAGATCCAATCAGGCCAGACTTGGTGTCTTGTGAGGCGTGTTTCTTGGTTCAGAGACTACCACGTCTCCGTATGTCCTTAGGTGGCTAAGAGTCTCTTTGTAAGGGTACTAATCTCGTTCCCAAAGACTCTGCCCT